TGTCCCACTGTCCCACTGTCCCCACCACTGTCCCGCTGTCCCCTCACCACTGTCCCCACCAACACCGTCCCCACCACTGTCCGCACCCCCACTCGGTTTTCGAGGGGGGGGGGGGGGGTCGAACCGGTAGTGAGTGACCCCCCCCCTTTTCGAGGGGGGGGGGGGGGGGTTCGAACCGGTAGTGACCCCCCCCGGTTTTCCGGAGGGGGGGGGGGGAGGGGTTCGAACCGGTAGTGACCCCCCCCGGTTTTCCGCCAGCAGCGGTAGAACACGCTCTTTCACATATAAACAAACTAGAAAATGATCAACAGCTACAACAACCACAACAACAACAACAACAACAACAACAACAACAACAACAATCACTTTACCCGAACGCTCAGTGTTCTCACCAGTGCCAGGGTTTTCATGCGACGCCAGCCAATACCCCCACTTTGTGGGGGGGCAGTGCAAGCTCTACCAAATATCCACACGACTCTTCGCCACCACCCACACCCAGCTTCCCGCCCTATGACGTTCGGACACTTCACTTCGTGGCCTGCGGACGACCGTGGCTACTACACTGGCGTGGAGTACACACCCACAGAAGTTGTTAAGCCTACGTTCGTACACCCACAGAAGTTCTTAAGCCTTGTTAACCCACAGAAGTTGTTAAGCCTTCCACAGAACATCCGAGGGCGCAACCTATGGCGCAACCGCAAGGGATTGTGGCCCCTGGCAGGCGCGCGAACCCCGTTGCAAGAGCGTGCGAAAGTAGCTCGCGCGAGCTCATGTAACATAAATGTTGGAAAACCATTGGTTTTTTTTTAGGATTCGGACAGCGCGCGCGGGTAGAAATTTTGAAAAGTCGTGCAGGTGTTTTTCGAGGACCTACGGTGCGATTCGTGTGATTTTATGATGCGCGGTGCTAAAATTCTTAAGAAGCCCAATGGTTTTTGGAGATTTCGGCGTGCGCGCGCGAAGAAAAAACGAATGTGTCCCGCATGGTATTATTTGACAGGGATGATGGCCCTGGCAGGTGCGCAACCGTTGTCGCAGAAGTTCGAAAAAGTTGCTCGCAAAAGCCCGTTTGACAGAAATGTTTAAAAAGTGTTGGGTTTCCTACGAATCCGCAAGAGCGCGCGGGATGAGATTTTGACATTTTTTTGTTGAAAAACCATTGGTTTTTTGATGTTTTTATGTTAAAATCGCTCCGAACACTAAGCTTTTGGAAGGATTTCGTCTTGCGCGCGCGAATGTCCACTTTACCTTATTTTTTGCAAGGGATTCTTGAAATTTGATTATATTAGAACAAGAAATGTCATTTTATAGTGTTTTTTGCAAGGGAAAACGGATTACAACAAAACAACCGGATCTTGATCACATCGTTTACCTGAGGCTTCCTCACGAAAATGATGAAAATGTAGCTGCGGCCTAGGCGGCGCAGGGGGGCCGTGCACCAGGGGTCCCAACAATAATTATTCTTTAGAATTCGCCGGCCCAACGGGCCAGAGGCGTGCTAAGATCTCCGGTAACTGGTTAACAATTTTCTAGTTCGCGCGCGCGGGGCGGCCCCTGGGGGTCCCCGGACGAAAAGTACCCCGACCAGGTCCCGGCCGGTCCCCGGCCGGGTCCCGGCCGGGTCCCGGCCGGGTCCCGGCCGGGTCCCGGCCGGGTCCCGGCCGGGTCCCCCCGAGCGCTCCATGAGCGCACCAACAGGGCTCCGAGACGTCCCCGAGAGCCCCAAGAAAGGCCAAGAGGCCCCCAAGAGGCCCCCAAGATGGTACACGAGGGGTCCGACATGCCACAAGATCGCTCCAAGACGCCCAAGATAGCCCCCAGACGCCCCAAGAGGCCTCCAAGAGCACTCCCAATAGGGCCCCCGGAGGCAAAAATCATTGTTTTTCCATAGGTTTTTGAGAGATTTTGGAGCTTCCACCTTTTCGGCTTCCCGACGCCCCAAGACGGCCCAAGAGGCCCCCAAGATCGCCCCAAGAGGGCCCAAGAGGCACCCAAGAGGGCCCCAAGATGGCCCAAGAGGGCTCGAAGACGGCCCAAGAAGCCTCCAAAACGGTCCAAGAGGGCCCCAAGAACGCCCCCAAAGGGGCCCCAGAGAGGGAACACGAAACAACATTTCGAGCCCTCGGCCCTAAGAAGCCCCTACGAGGCCCCTAAGAGGCCCCAAGAGGCCCCCACGGGGCCCTCAGGAGGCCCCCAAGAGTCCCCCAAGCGGCCCCAGGAGGCCCCCCAAATGCCCCCCCGAGCGCCCCAGGAGTCCCCCAAGCGGCCCCAGGAACCCCCAAAGCGCCGCATTGACACCAGGCCCTCGGGCAAACGGCAGACATGAGACTGTATGGGCCGGCGGAATGAGCGAAGCGATTAAATTAATAATGTTCAACAACAACAGCAGCAGCAGCAGCAGCAGCAGCAGCAGCAACAACAACAACAACAACAACAACAACAACAACAACAACAACAAAATAAAATCGCCCCCACTTTAGGGGGGCAGGCCCGAGAGAACGTGGCCAAGGCTCTCCTGGTGGGGGCGGCGACAGGTAGCGGAAAGAGCGAGATACGAGTGATGACGTTCTGGGGGGGCGAAGCCCTCTAGGGAGGGGCCAAGGGGAGAGGAGAAGGCCGCATGTTTAGGCGTTAATGACCGCCGCGGGGGCCGCTTCCCGCGTATGTTTTAGAGTGAAGCGGCTCGCGGGCGCCTTCCACGGCCCGTTTCCTCGTATGTTTCCGAGTGAAGCGGCTCAAGGGCCCCAAGACGGCCCAAGAGGGCACCAAAAGACCTGAAGACGGCCCCAAGAGAGCTCGGGATGGCCTCCAGACGGTCCTAGAGAGCCTCGAGACGGCTCCAGAGACCCTCCAGAGTGTCCTCGAGAGGGCCTCAGGAGCTCAAAAACATTGACTTTCCTTCGGTGTTTGAAGGTTTTTCGGGTCCCCGCCCTTTCGGGCCCAGACGGGCCCCACACGGCCCATGAGGTCCCAACGCTCATCCGAAGATGGCCCCAGAGGCCCCCCAAAGAGGCGGAAGACGGCTCAAGAGGGCCCCCAGCCGGCCCACGAGGGCCCCAAAACAGCCCCAGATGGCCCCGAGACGGCCCCAAGAGAGCCCCAAGAGGGCCCCAAGAGGCTCGCAAGAGGCTCGCAAGAGACTCCCAAGGGCGCCCGAAGGGGCGGTGTGGGGACGGGTGTGGGGACTTGGCTGGCCCCAAGAAGGGCCAAGACTCCCAAAACGGCCCTCAAGAGGGCCCCTGGGAGGGCCTCCAGAGGCGAAACACCTTGTTTTTCTCTAGGAGTTTCAAGGTTTTTGGGGTTCTCGCCTTTTCGAGCCCAGAAGGGCTTCAGACGTCCCACGAGGTCCCAAAGATCGTCCCCAGACGGCCCCAGATAGTTTTTGCAGGGGTTGGGGGTTCTTGGCTTTTCTAGCCAAGAACGGGCCAAAACGGCCCACGAGACTCCAAAGATCGCCCCAAGACAGCCCCCGAAAGGGCCCGAAAACGATCCAAGAGGGCCCCAAGAGGGCCCCAGAGGGGCCCAAAACTGCTTCAAAGGGCCCCAGGACGGCCCAAGAGGGCCCCAAGATGGCCCCAGGAGGGCTTGCAAGAGGGCCCCAAGAGGTTCCCAAGAGGGCCCCAAGAGGCCCCCAAGAGAGCCCCAAGACGGCCAAAAGCTTCCAAGACGCCCCTAGACGGCCCAAAAGGGCCCCAAGACGGCCCAGAATTGCCGCAAAAGAGCTCCCGAAGGGCTTCAAAAGGGCCCCAAGAAGACCCCGACGAGGCCCTATTGACACCAAGGCTCCCCAGAGCGCGGTGACGTACCAAGCTCGTCACACCAAGGATTCCAAGAGCAAGCAGCAACGTAAAAGTCTCCGAACACCAGGGCTCCCTAAGGAGAGCGGCGACGTAACAAGCTCTTCACACCAAGGCTCCCAAGAGCGAAGGGTGCCATGAGCCGTCTCGGGCCAGTTCCAGAAGCCCTCGTTTCGTTTCCGTGTCGGCCCAGGTCTAACGGTTGCTGTGAGGCGGAGGCGTAGGACTAGGTCGGGTATGTTCTCCTACAGGCGGATTTTGGACGAAACAATAAAACAAGACGTTAAAACATGGTACAGGAAAAACCTGTCAAAGTCTTTTTAGGGCTATCGGTGGGACTATGGGGCTATGGGGTTATGGGGCGATGGGGCTATGGGGCTATAGGGCTATGAGGGGGGCGATAGGGCCACAGGGCTATAGGTCTATAGGGCTATAGGGCTATAGGGCCATAGGGCTATAGGGCTGTAGGAAAGTAGGGGTATGAGGGTAAGGAGCTCTGGGGCTATGGGGCTATAGGGCTATAGGGCCATAGCGCTATGAGTCTATAGGGCTATGGGGCTATAGGGCTATAGGACCATAGGACTATAGGGCTATAGGGGTATATGGCTATGGGGCTATAGGGCTGTAGGGCTATAGGCAGATAGAACTATAGGGCTGTAAGGCTATAGGGCTATAGGGTTATAAGGCTCTTGGGATATAGGGCTATAGGGATATAGGGTTATAGGGCTACTGGGCTATTGGGCTGCAGGGCTATAGGGCTATAGGGCTATAGGGCTATTGGGCTATAAGGCTATAGGGCTATTGGGCTATAGGGCTATAGGGCTATAGGGCTATAGGGTTCTAGGGCTATAGGGCTATAGAGCTATAGGTCTATAGGGCTACAGGGCCATAAGGCTATAAGGTCTATAGGTCTAGAAGGCTATAGTGTTATTGAGCTGTAGGGCATTTGGGCTGTGGGGATATAGGACTATAAGGCTATAGGGCTATAGGGCTATAGGGCTATAGGGCTGTAAGGCTATAAGGCACCCGGGCACCCGGGCACCCGGGCACCCGGGCGGGCCGCGGAAATCGGTGACACACCTCACCAAACCATGTGAATCCGCTAGGACCCCTACAGAGGCAAGCTCTGATTGGGGAACGTTCAGAAATTATCAAAAAAAAAATGACAAATCATCGAAAAATCGTCCCCAGACTATGTTCGGACTATTTCTGAACATTCCTCCTGCACAGGGACACGCCCGACTTCAGCGTAGGAAGAGCTTGTCCTCTTCGCCACGCCCGGCCATCACGCGTCCAGATGGCCGCATACTCCGCCCAACCGCCCTGCGGCCTGATACGCCTCACTGCCCGCGTGCGGGCCAAAGCACGCTGCAGCGGCGCCGCCACGCGCTGCCATCCTTCGGCCGCTCTCGGGTAGCGGAGCAGCCCGAGCCGCCACTGCCGAGTCCGCTGGGCTGCAAGGCCGGCCCTTACAGGAAGAGGTACGCCCTGGACGCGAACATCGGCATGTCCGCCACCACGCTTGCGGCGGTTGGTGTGTGTATGTGGGTGTGCCGGGCCCTCGAGCTTGACATGCTCCGCTTCTTGCGAAGCAATGGGTAGCCCCAACATGACGCGTCGAGCCAAACGTGCGTTCACCGTGTGACCAAAGTCCCTGCGCTTTGATCTTCCGAGCAGAAAGCGATGCCAGAATCAAATGTCCAGGCGGGACCCAGCCCGAGCGCGGTGGCAGATTCGCGCGGCAGCGCAACTGGATAGGCGAAGGCCAGGGGAATCAGCGGAACGGTGAAGAGGGCGAGGTAGTGCATGAACATGAAATCGTGCAGCCACACCTCCGGGAAGAACGTGTACATGAAGAACGTGGACACGAGCGCGATGCCGTAGAACGTCAGCTCGGAGAACAGGTTCTCGAAGCAGGGCACGGGCATGAACGACAGGACGAGGTAGAGGATGACCGTGAACACCGAGGCGGTCGCAGCCCGGGCGGAGTTCTGGAAGATCATCTTGTTCATGAGCGGGAGCAGCCACACAACCTCGCAGGCGGGAAACGTACAGTCGGGGCGTTGACCGAAGGAACCTTAAATAAGGAACGAGGTCCCTTTTTCTCATAAGTCAAACTTCGATTCCCCATGAGAAACCTCAGGAAGACCCAAGGCAAACTGTGAAGCAATCCAGGAACACCGAGCCCGTCCCCAATGAAAAGGGTTCCTTCTTCAGCGCCCCGACTGTACCCGTGCTCACGGCCTCGCGGTCTGGGGACTCCTGGGCCGCGACGCCACGGCTGCAGGGCGCCTCTGCGTGGTCGCCCCATCCAGCTCCACATTGGGTGGGGTGGAGCAGGAGGAGGAGGAGGAGGAGGAGGAGAAGGAGGAGGAGGAGGAGGAGGAGGAGGAGGATGGGGGGAGGAGGGAGGAGGGAGGGGGGGGAGGAGGGAGGAGCCGCGTGTCCCTGGGAGCACGCCTCGGTGTCCAGACCGAGAGGGCATGGACATGCGAGCATCGTTGAGCCGATCCCCATCACCGCTGGCGTGGCCCAGGCCCCACTGGCTGATTTACCCACTGGATGGGGACATGGGCCGTTCCATTCGGGCTTCGAGGGGCCTATCACCAACTGCGGGGTGAAATGGTGGGCTGACATGCCATGGCATGGTGGGGATGGGGGTAATGAGCTTTAACGATACTGAACGTGGGCCCAATCTTTTCGTCGCTCGCGACAGCCGGCGCTAGCACGAGGGCCATCGGCAGCGCCTTCCACGGCATCACCAGCAGCGAGAGGCTCACCTTCGAGAAGCCGGCGCTGAGAGTGGACATCGGCACCGCTGCGGCGGTGCCTGCCGCAGCGTAGGGCCGCAGCCGCCAGTTGGTCAGGGTCCTGCACGGCCCTGCGAAAGTAATGCAACTTGAATGGTCGATTCGTTTGTTTTCGTCGCCTCGGTGTTCCGTTATGCCTTGCATCCAAAGGCCGTTCTGGGGTCCAGGGACCGTCAGAAATTGACCCGGAGTGAAAAACTACAGCCAGGGAAGTCCCCTGAACGATTCTTCGACACGACCTGCAAAAGTTGCATTGGTTGTCCAGGGAGTCTGGGCCCGGGGTGTCCGAAAGTCGCCCCCCAGACCTGTCCTGGAAGATTCGAGCAGGATCTCGAGGGAAGTCCACCAGCCGCGGCGACGAGGAGGACTCCTGGTGGCCCACTGAAGCCCAAAGTTAGGTCGGGCGTGTCCCCCTACAGGCGGATTTTGAATCGAAAGAGTCCCCAAAAATATTCAAAAATATTCCAAAATAGTCAAAACATCGTCCCCTGACTATTTGTTGACTATTTCTGAATGTTCCTCCTGCAGAGGGACAGGCCCGACTTAGGCCCACAGCCCAAAGCACGCCCCAAGACGTGCGCCCGCAAAGACCTTCCGACGCCGCCGAAGGCCGCCTGGGCCGACGGAAGGACCGCCCGAAGGACCGCCAGAGGCAGCCCGAAGGAGGGCCCACCCCTGCCGAAGTGGGCCAGCAGGTTACCAGCCTGGAACATATCCCTATCCCTATGCTGGGCACCTCCGCATCACGATGCCAATCTTCCCCAATCAGAGCTTGCCTCTGTAGGGGTCCTAGCGGATTAAAGGATTAAGTGAGAGGTGCGGACGATTTCGGTGGCCGGGCCCGGGTGCTCGGGTGCCCGGGTGCCCGGCGGCGCCTGGGTGCCCGGGTGGCCGGTGAGGTGCGTGGCCGATTTCGGTGGCCGGGCCCGGGTGCCCGGGTGCCCGGGTGCCCGGGGGTGCCCGGGTGCCCGGGGGTGCCCAATAGCCCAGTAGCCCTATAGCCCTATAGCCCTGTAGCCCTGTAGCCCTATAGCCTTAGATCCCTATACGTAGCCCATATAGCTCTATAGCCCCATAGCCCTATAGCCCTATGGCCCTACAGGTCACAGTCCTATAGCCCTATAGCCCTATAGCCCGATAGCCCTATAGCCCTATAGCCCGATAGCCCTATAGCCCTATAGCCCGATAGCCCTATAGCCCAAAAAGGGAGCAATTGGAATATCAAAAAATATCTGACTGGGGATTGTCTCCGGTATCATTAGGGGTTCCCTTATTTTTTGAAGGCGAATCCCTAAGATTGTCATCGCCTTTCGGCGTGTCAATCTTAGGGATAGGGATACGTTCGAGGCTGGTAAGCAGGTGCCCGCTCACCGCGGAGGAGTGCCTCCGCGCCCCTGGCCCCGAGGACCCCCGCCCGTTGGGCCTCCGCACAGGGCGGCGGCGGCTCACGGCGAGGCGGACGCCAACCGCACGCACCCACGACCCCCGCAGGGCCGGGAAGCCGATGCAGGGTGTGTACGGGCAGCCGCCCTCCGAGGCTCCGGCGAGGACAGGGGAACAGAGAACGGCACACAGGAGGGGCCCGATCGCAGCAAGAAGCCTTCTACAAGAGACCCGCAGCCCAAGGAACCCAGGGCACCCGGGAGACGAGCAGGGTGTTCTCTTGGCACGAGCCTCCACTGTGAACACAAACTCTCGGAGGTCCGCGCGGATTCCCTGGATCTGCGCTGGAGCGGACATCCGAGAACTCATGTTTATGCCGTTGTCGGCTCGCTCCATCTGCCCTCTCTTTCGGCCACGTCCTCCGCCTCTTGCTCCCTCCGGCATGGTGGCACAATTCGCTACAACAGCATCCCCGTTTAGGTAGCCTTCCGCCAGCGCAGTACAGTGAAAACGTATAGTAAGGACGCGTGGTAAGGACGCAAGACCCTTGGAGGCCGAAGTTGAAGTATTCTGGCCTGCGAAAATTGCTAGGGACGGGCCGCGGAGGCTGAGGCAGGCAAGGACCCAAGGGCACCCTTGAAAAAGTCGTTTGTCCTTACTATGCGCGTTGACTGTAGCCCTACCTGGCCGCCCGCGCAACAAGTTGATGCCGCCGTCTGCTCTGAGAGGAGGGCATCGGCGGCGGCGGCGGCGAACAACCCCCACCCCGAGGTCTGTCCCCTGGGCCACCGACCCCCCTCGCGCACCGCAGGCCGTGCAGGCGGGGCACACCCCGCTGCGCAGCGGCGCGGTGCGAGCGGCGGGTGGCAGCCCGGCAAGGTTTTCTCGACTCGCCCCGCGGTGGCTGCCGCGGTCTCAACTCGTCCTCCTGCAAGCTTTTGGCAAATGGGGACATCCAAGCCCTACACATCGGCCGGAAGAAATAGGGAAAAATATGAAGTACGAAGTCGGATAAAGTAGATTGAGTTCGCCCCCCCTGAAAAATAACAAACAACAGCCAAACCAGATCGGTTATTGAAGTAGGAAGGAGCTTGAGGTAGATTGGGAATCCAAAAAGACATGCTTTCAACGAACGATGGGAACCTCCACCCAACATCGATTCTCCTGAATCGATGGGGAGCCGGGGGAAGGGTTCGGACTTCGCCACGCGTTCGACGAAGCCCGAACCCTAACCCCAGCCACCCATCGAGCTGCCTGAATCGTTGATCTGCGAGGGTAGGGCTCGGATTTCGCCGCCGATTCTTTCTTCATACGAACAAGCAAACTTCACCGCGCGTCCTCAACCGCCGTGCGATTTAAAAGTCGCCAGGCGAACCGGGAGCAACCCACAAGCCGACCTGCGATAGGCAAAACCGTAAGTAAGGTGAGCCGCGACCTGAGAGCGAGAGCGAGCGCGCGAAAAGCAACGAGTTCCCCCCCCCTGCGCTGGCCTCGGGCCTGAGGATTCGTAAACCGATCCCTGAGAACATCGGTTCAGACTTATGTTGCCCCCATAGCACTTAAGGACCACCACATCCCAGAAATAATTTCGAGCACCCAAGAAAGTATGGAAACAGTGCCGAACGAGGATCGCCTTCCAGGGCCCGACATGTGAAAACCCTCCAGTTTCGGCACTTTCTTGGTGCTCGAAATTCTTTCTGGTGGCCCAGGCTCAAGTAGGCTGGAACATCATCAGTCAAGACGGCGTGATGAGGGCAAGTCCTCTCAACATCCGCCCCCCGACTCCTCCGGCCCCGCGAGCGGCCCCCGGAGGCAGAAAAAGGGGGACCGGGGGGAACGACAACAACAACAACAACAACAACAACAACAACAACAACAACAACAACAACAACAACAACAGCAGCAGCAGCAGCAACAACAACAACAGCAGCAGCAACAACAACAACAACAAACCAACCACCAACAACAAAACGACAACAACAAAACAACAACAACGACAACGACAACGACAACACCAACAACACCAACAACAACAACAAAACGACAACGACAACGACAACAACAACAACAACAACAACAACAACAACAACAACAACAACAACAACAACAACAACAACAACAACAGCAACAGCAACAGCAACAGCAACAGCAACAGCAACAACAACAACAACAACAACAACAACAACAACAACAACAACAACAACAACCACAACAACAACAAAAACAACAAAACACGAGCCCAGCGCCTCAAACCCGGCGTCGGGGTCCTGACGCCTCCCAGGGCGGCCACCTGCGACGCGGGCACCGCGGCGGGCGCGGCGGCGGCGGCGAGGGCCGGGGCGGCGGCGGCGGGGCGAGGCTGCCGCGCGGAGGGCCCGGGCGCGGCCCTCTGCGCCGCGCCGGGGGCCCTCGGGGCCGCACCGCCGGGACGTGTCCGGCTCCACCCGCTTCTCGGCATCGTGGAGCTGACGGTGAGGGCACGCCCTGAGGCGCCCTGAGGCGCCCTGAGGCGCCCTGAGGCGCCCCGAGGCTCCCTGAGGCAGTGAATGAGGAGCCCCTGGATAGAGGGATCCGAGGGGTCTGTGGAAGCCAGGAACGCCGAGGCTCGGCCGCGGATGTCACCGCCGACCTCATCAGACAAGGAGGCCCGCAGGATCTGAGCCCCCCTGGGCACATTCCGTCACGAGCGCCCCCGTCGAGTCCCCATCCCCACCGAGCCAGGGTATCTCAGCCCCACCGTCCCGCCACCCCCGTTGGGGACAGGCCCCCCGAAGCGCGAAGGGAGCAGCTGATGTCCCCTGCCAGGGGGGGGTGAAGCGGCCACTGGGGCCCAAAGCCACGCCAGCGGGGATAGGGATCGGCAAAACGATGCTCGGCTTCGGAGTCGTGCCCCTGGATCTCGAGGAGTGGTTAGAAGAAGAAAACACTCTATAAACATAAACTTTGGGCGCTCCGCGCGGATTTCTCGGATACGCGCTGGACCCCCCTCCCTGGCACGCGGAGCGCGCCAGGGGCCGCCGGGGGGGCCCAGCGCGGATCCAAGAAGTCCGCGCGGAGCGCCGAAAGCTCATGTTTACGGCGTTATTTCTTCTTCGAGTGGTGGATGTGGATATCTGCCCGCCCGCGTGGGCGGGCAGATGTCCGCCCCCCCCTCACTCCTGCCCCTCGGGAGGGAAAAACCTCCTCCTCCTCCTCCTCCTCCTCCTCCTCCTCCTCCTCCTCCTCCTCCTCCTCCTCCTCCTCCTCCTCCTCCTCCTCCTCCTCCTCCTCCTCCTCCTCCTCCTCCTCCTCCTCCTCCTCCTCCTCCTCCTCCTCCTCCTCCTCCACTCCTCGGGGTCCCAGGGCACGCCTCTCTGCAGCGGTGGACGTGGACATGTCTTGCCGGTGGACCTGGGGTGCAGGGCGGTGAGGGCGGTGCGGCAGAGCTGCGGCTGCCAGGGCGCCCTGGCGCACAACCACGGCGACGCGGGAGGGCGCCAGCTCCACGCGCGCCCCGCATTCTCCGACAGTCCGACGACGCCCTGCGGGACCAGCCGTCGGGCCCCCGGGGCCATCGAGAACGGATCCGGGGCGCAGAGCTGCCCGCGGAGGTCGATCAGGGGATCGACTACAAAATTGACTTCTCCCCCCCGACGTTGCCCCTGGTGGCTCTCGGGGCACAGCTCGGGCATCCAACAGCCGTGCGGGACGACTCGGGCACCCCCAGAAGCCCATCGGCGAGGCGCAGCTGCCGAAGGCGCCCCGAGGCTGGAAAACCGCCGAGAACCAGCGAATACGTCCGAAAATCTCCCCCCCGGACCTTGCCCCCGAGCCCATCCCCCCCCAACGTTGCCCCTGACCTGGCAGGTTCCAGAAACTCTGAAACCAAAACAGCTGGCATCTCTAGGGGCCCATCGTTTACTTAGTTCCGCCGCCTTCCTCGGGAGCGGCCAAGAGGGGGGTGTCCAAGAGGGGGGGTGCAAATCATGACCGACGGCATGTGCGCGGCCCAGCGGGGGGGCCATGGACGTAATGAAATAAGAAGAGGCGCCATGAAATCTGGGGAAATATCATGACCCCCGCCATGATATCCACCCCCCCCTAGTCATCACCCCCCTCTTTTCCGCCCCCGACTTCCGTCGAGCTTCCGCCTGCCTCCGCCGGGGAAGCCGCCCTCGTTGTACTCCCGCACCCGTCCGCCGCCCGCCCGCCGCCTTCCAGCGAGGAAAAGGTGGCAACTCCTTCGACCCTCGAAGGCGAGGCCCTTTCTGGAACGCCTCCCGTCACCCACCCCCCGCCAGGACCCCCTGGATTGCCAGTTCGGGAGTGGGGGTCCTGGCTGGGGGGTGGGGGTGGGTTGTGCTGTCCCCCCCTGAAGTTAAGTCGGGCATGTCATCCTACAGGCGGATTCTGGACGATAAGCACAGAATAGTATATAAAAATGAAAACACAAAAAAGCAAACCAAAAAATCAAAGCATAACAAAAAAAACGAACACAAGTGTCGAAAAATCGTCCCCGGACTCCTTTTGACCATTCTGGAGCACTCGTCCTGTGGAGGGACCTGCTCGACTTCACCCCAGCGCTGCCCATCATCCGAGAGTGCACGGGCTGCCGCCCTCCGATGGGGGCCCGCGCGCTCCCAGCAGAGCCCCGCGCGGCGGGAGTGCCGCGCCCGCGGGGCGCGCCAGGCGGGCGCCGAGCGCGCGGAGCGCCATCCGGGCGGCGGGGGCGGGCGCCGTCGGGCGTTGCGGAACAAGGGGGGGGCGACAAGCTTGTCCATCGGACGGAAGAAGTACAGGGCAGTTTAAACAAAATAACAAAAAAAACATAGGATCTTAATATATATATATATATATATATGTATATATATTATGGGATTTTAATATAAGATTAATGTGTGAATACATGTATGCACGAACTCATCGTTGTTTTTGATGCTCAATCCCCGCATTTTTTTCCTACATGATCCGCACGCGGAGCATGCATTAAAAACGGCACTGTAGAAGCAAGAAGTAGGAGGGCGTTGAAGACAGGTGGGGGTTCCGCCCGCCCCCGAGGGGGAACGGAGAAGATGAAGCCACTCGGTCACTGAAGCAGGAGGGCGCTTAAGGTAGAGTGGAACCTGGGAATCCAAAAATGCCTACTTCCAACGACCGATGGGTACGGATTCGACGATGGGCCCCTTGTCACCCACCAGCCCTGGGCGGTCTTCGGCGGTCTTCGGCGGTCTTCGGCGGTCTTCGGCGGTCTTCTGGCGGCCTTCGGCGGCATTCAGTCGCCGACGGTCCTCGCCGCTCTCCTGCGGTCTTTGGCGGCTTCCGAGGGCTTTCGGCGCGAAAGCTGGATGGTTGCGGTTGACGAGGGGCCCATGATCAAACACCTCAACACATGGGGGGGCGGACTCGTGTACCTTTCGTGCCCCTTTGGGGCCTTAGATGGCCCCATTTGGGGCACGAGAGGTGCACGTTCCTTCACCCCCCTCATTTCTCGCGCCCCCCCCCCGTGACGCAACAGCCGAGGCAGGCACGAGAGCGACTTCTGGGGGCCGCGAGGGCGCTGGTAGGCCAGAGCAGCCGTCGGAGCGGAGGAGAACAGAGAAGCAGGACGCGGCAGAGTAGGGGATGGACAGACCCCCCTTTAGTAAAACATGGCTTAGTGAAAACGGCCTGAGGCCCAAACCTGGCGGGCGCAAGCCTGGAAAACAACGGCCACGGCGCCCTCTCGAGAACCGAAAACGGACAATTCACTAATCGACGTGTCACTGTTGGGAGTTCTGTCCAGCCCCGACTCAGAGGCATAGGAAGTTTGGGATGTCCGCGGGCTCCGGCGCCGCCACGCGCGACCCCCTCGGCCGAGAGGCCCTACCAGACCACCGCAGCCCAGCCCCGAAGGGGCACGGGTTCCTCCACATGTGCCTTCCTCCATGTTCCCCGACGCCCCCCCCCCCCACACTGGGAATGAAGGGCAGGTCGGGGCCTTCGGATTGGGCTGGGGCGGCTTGGTGGGTGGTGGAGCATACGGTCGTGTAATGTTGCGTGGCGCGTCGCGGGCCGCTTCTGGGGAGGGGGAGGAGGAGGAGGAGGAGGAGGAGGAGGAGGAGGAGGAGGAGGAGGAGGAGGAGGAGGAGGAGGAGGAGAAACTCGGGACTCTGCCGCTTTGGAGCCGGCGCGCGCTCAGCGTCTGGGAGTGCTCGGCGGTCTGGGATCCTGGGGCGCGCCCCCGCAGCCGCGCGGCCGCCCGCGGGTGCCTTCCGCGCGGGCGCCTTCCGCGAAGACACGCCCCGTAATTACCCACGGGGTCGCGGCCCAGGGGCCCAGCCCGCGAGGCCGTGGATGTGCGAGGAGGAGGAGGAGGAGGCGAAGGAGGAGGAGGAGGAGGAGCAGCAGGAGGAGGAGGAGGAGGACGAGCAGCAGGAGGAGGAGGGGGAGGCTGAGGGAGGAGGAGGAGGAGGAAGAGGAAGAGGAAAAGGAGGAGGAGGAGGAGCAAGGAGCGAGGAGGAGGAGGAGGAGGAGGAGGAGGAGGAGGAGGAGGAGGAGGAGGAGCGAGGAGGAGGTCTTCCGTCCACGACGGCTTGCGAGCCCGGGCGCGGCGGGGAGCGGCGTCCGCCTCCCTCGCGAGCGAGATAGCGAGGACCGGGCAGGGCCCCCCCGGGGGCGCCCTCGGACGGAGGAGTGCGCGCGCGCGCCGCCCCCGCCGCGCCCCCCGCGAGCTCGGCGGCGAGGGCGAAGATGGCCGGCCCCTCGCGGTCGCGCCCGCCGGCGAGCGCTGGACCTCCCTCCGCGCAGCGGCCCGTGCGCGGGAATCGCGCCGCGCGCGGGGCTCCGCGCGCTGCTCTCCCAGCGGCAGGGCCCTGCCCTCGGCGCTGGTGCTCCTGCGGCCGGCGGTGCCCAGGGCCTCCTCTCCGGGGGGGATGGGGGCCCCCCGTGCTCCGCCCGCTCCACGGGGACACCCGGCGCCGCGCCTTTCCTGTCGCAGCGTGGCGCCCCAGGGGGAGTCTGGACCGCCGGGGACTGGCCCTCGAAGAAGAGCAAACGCCGTAGACATAAACTTTTGGCGCTCCCGCGCGGATTCCTTGGCTCCGCGCCAGGGGCGGCACCGGAGGCGCCGCAGTGGGGGCCCCGCGCGGATGCAAGAAATCCGCGCGGAGCGCCAAAAATTTAATGTTTATGGCGTTTTCTCTTCTTCGAGGCCCTTCATCCTGAATTGTTTCTGTGGCGGTCTTGAGGCCAGGCGAGGGCCTCGAAGGCGACGAGAAGGGCGGATATCCCAGGGAAAAGCGTTACGCTCTTTTCGGGGTTTGGCGATTGCGCGGTGTTTCTGTGCGCCGGAACGGAACGGGTGAGGATGTACAGGAGCATTCGGCGCAAGCATTGGATTGCGCGGATACATCACATCGAATATAACGGCTTCGTCGGTCTCAACCCAATGCGGCGGCGCGCGGGGCGAATTCGATATCATTGTGAACGCCCGCTGCGACCTGTTTGAATGTCAATTGTGGCACGGAGATTTGGGCGCTCGTTGCGGGGAACCCAATGGCGTGCGCTGCGGGTGGTGCAGCCTGGAAAAACCGCGGCTGCGGAGCGTGAGAAAGTGCGACATCCTCTTTGCAGCTATGCTGGAAGAATGGCGTTCGCCCCGTGGTCGCGGGGCACCTCGCCCAAACGGGCCGCTGGGCTGGGCGGGGCGCCGTCGTCGCACGGGCGCCGCGGGCGCCAGAGCAGCGAATCCATGTATTCAGTTTCGGTTACATGTATCGATTTCCCGTGAATTGCATCTTGGTTCTATGTGTGTTTCGCTTACATGTATTCAGTTTTGGTTACATGTATTCTGTTATGGTTACATGTATTCAGTCTTGGTTACACGTATCCAGCTGGCGTTCTAGGGGAAAGTGCGAAAACGCCGCTCGCGAGTGACGCGCTCCGCAGTCACAGGAGTGCCGCCTTGCGGCTTGCGTTGTACAAGAAGCAGGATGCCACAGGGCTCCGCCGCCCGTAGCTCCGGCTTCTCGAATCCGCAATCCTCAAGCTGCTCGCCATTGTGCGCGCCTCAACGTGGGTGCCATTATCTCCGCGCCACAAGTAACATCCCGATCAACACGTACGGGCGTCAACCTCGGGGCCGGGCTGACACCGCGCGCCACCGCGTCCAGTTATGGCCGAGACTGCCGCGCGAGTCGCCTCGCCGTCTCCGCGACATTCCAGGCAACGCTCAGCGAGCTCTTTCAGATCGTCACCTCTTGCACCCAGGCGCCAACAGAGAAGGCCGCGCTTGCCAAGCCCCAAGAGTGGATAGCTCTCCCCCGAGCTATCCGCCCTGGTCGTCGCCTCCGAGGGCCCCAGAGGCCGAACTTGCCTCACAGAGCCTCCCCCGGCGCGAGGATGTCCGGGTCCTTCCCGCCGCGGCAGCCGCCTGCCCTCCTTGGGCCGTTCGCCGCCACCCTCGGCGCCGGGGGGGGCCCCCGGGGGGCCTTCTGCACCTCCCGCCGACGCGGCGTCAAGGGAGGTGGGGGAGACACCAGGAGGGAGGGACGAGGGGGAGGGAGGGAGGGAAGGAGCGAGCGAGGTCAGGGAGGGAATGGAGGGCGGGGCTGGCGGGGAGAGAGGTAAGAGGAGGAAAGAGAGGACGACGAGGAGCAGCAGCAGCAGCAGGAAAAGGAGAAGCAGCAGCAGCAGCAGCCTCAGCAGCAGCAGCAGCAGCAGCAGCAGCAGGAGCAGCAGCAGCAGGTCGAGAGGTGGAGAGGGAGGGGGAGGCCAGGTAACGGTGGAGGCGGTAGAACAGGAGGACAGGGGAGACGGAGAGGTGGAGGAAGGGGAAAGATGGAGAGGCGGAGGAGGAGAGGCACAACAGGGAGGAAGCGCGAGGCCCCCGTGTGGTTGCCAAGGGCCGACGCACCCCCCCCCAAGGCCTGCTCACCACGCCGATCTTCCCAGGCGTGTGGATGTATCCGGGCATGATGCCCATCTTGCACTCCTGGGGGGGGTTCGCCTTGCCCCCCACATGCCCCCACCCCTCCCCCTCTCTGCCCTCGCGCCTGCGCGCTGCTGGGCGCGCGGGGTGCCCGTGCGGGCCCACGGCAGGCGAGCCGGGCCGGGCGAGCGGGGCATCGAAGTATGCTGTTGAAGGGGCCCCAGGACACACAAATAAATACACAAATAAAAGGATTCCCCATATTTTCCCGTATTTTCTGGGTTTCTGTCTTCCCCCCCCCCACCGCCCATACTTTCCTATATTTTCTGGGGAATCGACGATTAAGTGTGTCTGTGTGTTTTTTCTCCTCCTGAGCTGTGTCGCGTCAGCATCTGCCTGGCGCGCGAGCGCCCGTGGCGGGCGGGCCAGGTCGGGCGGGCAGGGCATCAAAGCATGTCGTGGCGCACTGTCACATGCATGGCACGCGAGCGCCCGTGACGGGCGGGCAGCGCGTCCGCGGCGGCGCGGGTCGGGCTGGGCGGGCGAGACATTCGGATATGTTGTGGTATATGCCCCTTTGCCTGGCACGAGGACGCCCGTGGCGTGCTTGCCGGATCGGGCGGGCGGGACATTATGGTATGTTGTGGCGCGTCGTCCCATGTTCTTTCGCCTATTCCTCCCCCTCGAGGACGACGACGACGATGACAACGACCGACCGTCCGACCGTCCGACCGTGCGACCGACCGACCCGCCGACCGAGCGCCTGTCTGAGCGATCGACCGACGACGACGACGACGACGACGACGACGACGACGACGACGACGACGACGACGACGACGACGACGACGACGACTACACCGGCGACAACGACGACGACGACGATGACGACGACGACGACGCGAAGCCGAGCCTGTCGACGGTCGACGGCGGCGCTGTCTTGCGCCAGGGCGGCGACGGCGGGGCTGCCTCTTCCTCCTCCTCCTCCTCCTCATCATCATCATCAGCAGCTGCATCAGCATCAGAATCAGAATCAGCATCAGCATCATCATCATCAGCAGCAGCAGCAGCATCAGCAGCAGCAGAAGCAGCAGCAGCAGCAGCATCGTCATCATCATCGTCATCATCATCATCATCATCAGCATCATCATCAGCATCATCATCATCAACATGATAATCATCATCATCATCATCATCATCATCATCATCATCATCATCATCATCATCATCATCATCATCATCATCATCATCATCATCATCATCATCATCTACATAATCATCATCATCATCATCATCATCAGCAGCAGCAGCAGCATCCTCACCATCATCATCATGAGCAGCAGCAGCATCATCACCACCACCACCATAACCACCATCACAATCAGCATAAGCATCATCATCATCATCATCATCATCACCATCACCATCATCATCATCACCACCATCACCATCAGCATCATCATCATCATCATCATCATCATCATCATCATCATCATCAGCATCATCGTCAGCATCATCGTCAGCATCATCAGCATCATCATCGTCATCATCCTCATCATCACCATCTCCATATCCTCGTTATCATCATCAGCAGCATCGGCATGATCATCAGCAACATCCTCAGCAGCATCAGCAGCGTATCATCGTCATTATCATCAGCAGCATCATCACCACCATCAGCATCGTCATCAGCATCGTCGTCATCATCATAATGAGCAGCAACAGCATCATCAGCATCATCATCAGCATCAGCATCATCAGCATCAGCATCTCCATCCTCATCGTCATCATCATTATCATCAGCATCAGCATCATCATCATCATCAACAGCAGCATCATCATTATACTCATGATCCGTTTCATTGTCGTCATCATCATCATAATCAGCATCATCATCATCATCATAATCTCCATCACCATCAGCATCATCATCATCAGCATCATCTTCATCTGTTTCATCATCACCATCAGCATCATTATCAACATCATCATCATCATCATCATCAGCAGCAGCATCATCAACATCAGAAGCAGCAGCAGCAGCAGCAGCAGCATCAGCATCATCCTCATCCTCATCAACATCCTCATCATCATCATCCTCCTTATCCTCCTCCTCCTCCTTCTCCTCCTCCTCCTCCTCTTCTCCTTCTCCTCCCTCCTCGTGCTTCTCCTCTGGCCAAGGCGGCTCTGCGCGGGTAAACCCAAGGGATAGGCCTGGGGTAGCCCTAGGGGCAGGCCCTAGGGGTAGGGCCAGGGTAGCCCCAGTGGCAGGCCCTAGGGATAGGCCTAGGGTGGCCCTAGGGGTAGACTCTACTGGTAGCCCTAGGGTAGCCCTAGGGGTAGGCCCTAGGGGTATGCCTAGGGTTGCCGTAGGGGTAGGCCCTAGAGGTAGGCCTAGGGTAGCCATAGGGGCAGGCCCTAGGGGTAGGCCTAGGGTAGTCCTAGGGGTAGGCCTTAGGGGTAGTCTTAGGGGTAGGCCCCAGGGGTAGGCCTTAGGGGTAGGCCTAGGGTAGCCTTAGGGGTAGGCCCCAGAGGGAGGCCCAGGGTAGACCTTCCGGGGTCTATAAGCTCAACACATCCTCATGCTAGACACAAGCCTGGGCGACCTGGACACGTGAAAACACGCGTCTCGCTCGAGAGATCCTCAGCACATCATCATGTTAGACATCCTCCTGGGCGACCTAGGCACGGGAAAACAATCGTTTCGCTCGAGACATTCCCGACACATCTTGATGTCAGACATCCGCCTGGGCGACCTGTGCACGTGAGAACAAGCTTCTCGCTCGAGACCCCCTCAACAGACCCTCATGTTAGATATCTGCCTGGGCGGCCTGAATACAAAAAACAGCTTTTCGCTCAAGCCTCCCACAACTCTGCAAAACAAGCATCTCGCTGGAGACATCTTCGGCAAAGTATAGAAACAAACATTTCTCTTTGGACATCCTCAGAAGAAGATCCGACGGTCCACCCTTTGTATGTTTTTAATGAAAGAGAATTCCGCCGGCCCACCCCAGCATGGCACCAGGGACAATTACACGACTACAAGAGAACCCAGGGCCCAAGCCCTTTCGGGGAACCATCGAACGACCCTGTGCCCGAACTATAGGCAAATGTATATATATATATATGTGGTGAACGACATAACCAGTCAGACGCGTTACAAGCAGTCTACATGTCTGAACGTGTATATGTTGCCAGCGATCAGACCAACGCTTACCAACGACTTGAATAAGGATTGCGGCCAATCTGGCCATAGAAGTGGCGATGTAGCTGGCTACCTAGCGTTCAGGCTGTACCAGTCTTGGAGCCTAGCGTACAGTGCGGAAGGGGGGCCGTGCCCGTGAGAAACAGGAAGTGTTGGCCTCGAAGCCAAATCGTTCGCGGCCGAATGCGCGAATAGGGTTCGTGCTCGAGTCAGGGCGAGGGGTGCACAACTAAATACAAGTACACGTGCGTCTGAGCAGATATTTCCCCCGTGTTGTCCCCCGCCTTGTGCCCGCGCTCTCCACCAGCCTAAGTGCAGTCGGACCTAGGCGAGGAGAACATCCCTCAAGAACACGAGACCCTCCGCTGGCCAGAGCACACACAGTATATCCAAGGGTACCCTCCCCAGGATTCACAATAATATCAAACAAACACGAAAGAACATTAGGGCACCGTCCCCGAACCGAATTCGATCGTAGACCTCGGTCCGACTGTAAGCAGATATTTCCCCCCAGTGATGTCCCCCCAGTCCCCGCGCTATCCACCAGCCAAAGTGAAGAAGGGGGAGAATGGATGGCGTGGGGTGGTGTGGGGCACGGGGGGAGGGAGGGCAGCAGGGACGAGAGACAGGGGGGAGGGACCACGAGGGAGGGATGGAGGAGTAGGATTAAATCGGGCGTGTCCCCCCACAGGCGGATTTTGGGCGAAAAATTAAAAATACCCAAACAATGTTCAAAAATGGCCAAACCATAATCCCCAGACTATCTTTTGACCATTTTGAAAGTTCCCCCTGTAGAGAGACAGGCCCGACTTAAGAGTAGGAGGAGGAGGAGGAGGAGGAGGAGGAATGAGAAGGGAGGACGAGGAGCAGGAGGAAGCACAGGGCGACGAGGGCAGAGGGGCAGGAGGGGAGAGAGGGTGGAGGACGGTGTGTGGAGGACGATGAGGACGACTGGGAAGAAGAGAAGGGTGTGATGGAGGAAGGAGACAAACACGATGAGGGCTGACGAGGAGAAGGAGAAGCGGGAGCAGGGAGGAGCCAGGGCAAGGAGGACAAGGAGGGCGAGAGAGGAAGGAGTGGCGGGGGTGGATAGAGAGGGGGTCTCTTCCCATCTCTATGTCTCGTCTTCCTCTTCCACCGCCTTCACACGACCAAACCTCCTCCTCGGCAACAGCAGCAACGGTAGGACTTCCGCTCAGCCCCATCGCCTGTCTTCGGGTCACGTGACCCCGTGTCTGGGTCCTTTTGGAGCCCTCCGGTGGCCTCTTGTGGCCACCTTGGCAACATACTGAGCGCCCGGATTGTCCTGGGCGCCCCGAGGCATTGGTGGGGCCGTCGTCCAGGGGGCCGTCTTGGGCTGCTTCGGCTCCTGCAGGAGGCCCTCTTGAGCCCTGCTGGGGCCCTCTTGGGGTATGTTGCTCCTATCGCATTTAAGGACCACATCCCAGAAATAAATTCGAGCACCCGGAGAAGTGTCGAAAGAGTGTCGAAACAGTGTCGGACGAGTGTCTCCCAGGGCCCGACACGTGAAAACCCACGAGTTTCGGTACTTTTCTGGTGCTCGAAATTGCTTCTGGAGATCAAAGCTAAAGCAGGTTGAAACATCATAACTCGTGGGTCAGTCCTGAGCTTGGGGCCCACGTAGGGCACGTTTGGGCGCTCTTTGGCCTCCGAACCCCTCTGGGAGCGACATTTCTTCGAAAAAATCCGGAACCCCGAAAGTGTCTGGATCCTCCTGGGCTCTGACTGGTGTGTCCTTTGTTGCTTGGTGGCCTCTGGGGGACATCTTGGGGTCATCTTGGGGCCTCTTCGGCCCCACTGGGCCGTGTCCAGGAGAGCTGGACGCAGTGATCCCGAGGGCCTGAGGCGCAGAAGCTGCCGCCGTTTTCCCCCCTCCTTATTCGTCCTCCTCCTCCTCCTCCTCCTCCTCCTCCTCCTCCTCCTTCTCCCCTCCCTGGCTTGTGCCTTGCACGGTGGATTTTCCCATCCCCTCAGTCGGAAGCCGGCAGCTTGGGAGACCGTCTTGGGTGCCTTGGACACTCTTGCCAATCGGTTGCACCTCGGAGGGCAGCGGGGCCACCCTCTGTGGGCTCTCTTGCGGCAGTCTGGAAATGCCCAGCAGGAGCGCCAGGAGCTGGGTAGCCCTTTGGGGAAGAGGCCCTCAGGGCCCCGCCGTTGGGCTTCGCGCACAGGAAAGAACGAACGACCTGGTGACAGATATCTCGGTGTACACACGAGGCCCTGTGAAATAAGGAACGCGAAATGAGGAACGAAGCCCCGTTGGGACGCCAGCAGCGCCTGGATGGACGAGGCGGGCTGGAGGAACAACCGCGGCATTGCCTAAGGAACAGCGAGCCCCTTCAATCCCAACGCGGTCCTTGTTTCAGCGCCTTGACAGCATGTGTGCAGCCAAGACGCGGCAACAAGTGCCACTCTCGTTTCGGACCGCTCCTTGAATCTAGGTCGGGGGGGCGACTCGTGGCCTAGGCTCACCGCCGTGGTCAGAAAAGCCCCTTCGGTCCTTCTCCAGCGTTCCTGCGTTCCCCTTGTAGCACGATGGCGACTGAACTAACAATTTACCTACATGTCGAATTAACGATGGTAGCGACCTTATTCATACAGCGCATTCACGAACTACCTCCGCTAAAGAAATATGCAAAGATCAGTCGAACAACCGAACTCAGGAGAATAACAACACGCTCGAAACACGTTGCCTACATGAACAACGATCTTAACGATCTAGGGAACAACATCTAAGTAGCGACCAAACTCCCGATTTAAAGGTCAAAGTCTCCGCCGCCGTGACGCGGGGCACTGCGTGTCCTCAGGTCACGTCGGGTTATGTGTGTCGAGTGTTGTGAACCGTCTGCAAGGCTGCAAGGAACCAAAAGCCCCAACTCACGGGCCTCATTGGTGCCTCTCGTGTGACAGTCCCCGACGTCCTCATTCGATGATAAAGAAATTGCTTGGCAATATGTTCGGCCTCGAAGGCGGTAACGCGAACAGACCCTGCGAGCCCTCGAGTGCCAGGATGGCCCCCGAGACCGCCAAAAGGCCCTCCAAGAGGCGCCAAGAAGCGCCCAAGAGGCCCCAAGCGGCCTCCACGAGGCTCACTGGATCCGCCGCCTCCTGTGTTTACCACAGGTGTGCATAGTGTGCTAAGCGTTTTGCGGCTTTGAACCCTTCCAAAATCCCCGCGAACATGCGGCACAACACGCTGGCCACACGGAAAAAACGGGAAGCACTTTCCTCTGCCTCCCAGACGCCCCAAATGGCCCCTTATGTCTACATTCAAGACGGCCAAAATCGCCAAGATGGCCTCCAATACGGCCCCGAGACGCCCCCAAGACGGCCAAGATGACCCCAAAACGGCCCAAGATGCCCTCCAGACGGCCCAAGAAGCCCTCAAGGCGCCCCAAGAAGATCTCAAGAGGGGCAAAGTCACTGATCTGCCTTTAAGTGTTTCAATGGGCGTTCTCGCCGTTATAAGCTTTCAACGTTCCCAGACGGCCCCATAAGCCACCAAGATCGCCCGAAGACGGCCCCATAGGCCACCAACATCGCCCCAAGACGGCACAAGAGGGTCCGAAGAGAGCCCAAGAGGTTGCCAAGACGGCCCCAAGACGGCCCTACACCGCCCCAGGAAGGACCCACGATTGCCCAGAAGGGCGCCCAAGACGACCCCCGAAGGCCAACAGGTCCCCATACGAGCCCCTCGAGGCCCCCAGAAGCCCCCAAGGGGCCCCCAAGAGGCCCAGGAGGCCCACAAGAGGCCCCTGAGAGGACCAACGGCCTCCCAGGAAGCTCCTGGGAAGCTCCTAGGAAGCCCCAAGATGGCCTAAAGAGGCATCCTTTTCGTCGTCCTCCTCCTCCCCCCCCTCCTCCTCCTCCTCCTCCTCCTCCTCCTCCTCTTCTTCTTCGTATTATTATTATTATTCTTCTTCTTCTTCTTATTATTCTTCTTATTCTTCTTCTTCTGCTTCTTCTGCTTCTTCTTCTTCTTATTATTCTTCTTCTTCTTCTTCTTCTTCTGCTTCTGCTTCTGCTTCTGCTTCTGCTTATGCTTCTGCTTCTGCTTCTTCTTAGTATTCTTCTTCTTCTTCTTCTTCTTATTATTCTTCTTCTTCTTCCTCTTCTTCCTCCTCCTCCTCCTCCTCCTCCTCCTCCTCCTC